CCGCCCCAGGGACCAGTGAGGATCAGACGTCGGCTACACCACCGCCCCAGGGACCTGTGAGGGTCAGACGTCGGCTACACCGCCGCCCCAGGGACCAGTGAGGATCAGACGTCGGCTACACCACCGTCCCAGGGACCTGTGAGGGTCAGACGTCGGCTACACCGTTCGCCCTACAGACCGGTGAGAATCAGACGTCGGCTCCATCACCACCCCAGGGACCCGGTGAGGGTCAGACGTCGGCTACACCACCGCCCCAGGGACCTGTGAGGGTCAGACGTCGGCTACACCACCACCCCAGGGACCGGTGAGGGTCAGGACGTCTGCTACACCGCCGCCCCAGGGACCTGTGAGGGTCAGACGTCGGCCTACACCGTCGCCCTACAGACCGGTGAGAATCAGACGTCGGCTCCATCACCACCCCAGGGGCCGGTGAGGGTCAGACGTCGGCTACACCTCCACCCCAGGGACCTGTGAGGGTCAGACGTCGGCTACACCGCCACCCCAGGGACCGGTGAGGGTCAGACGTCGGCTACACCACCGTCCCAGGGACGGTGAGGGTCAGACGTCGGCTACACCGCCGCCCCAGGGACCTGTGAGGGTCAGACGTCGGCTACACCGTCGCCCTACAGACCGGTGAGAATCAGACGTCGGCTCCATCACCACCCCAGGGACCAGTGAGGGTCAGACGTCGGCTACACCGCCGCCCTACGGACCAGTGGGGGACAGACGTCAGCTACACCGTCGCCCTGGTGACCCGAGCCACCACACCAGACGACCAGACCGAGCCACCAGAGCCACCAGACCGCTACGCGCTAAGACCGAAGGCCGTGCTGTTGAGTGGCGGCACGAGGTTGGACCACAGCGCGCACTGGCGGGCCCGCAGGCCGCGGCCGGTGGCGCGCGTGTTGGCCGCCAGCACCAGGTACCGCTGGCCGCTCGGCTCGTACAGGGGCCAGTCGGCCGAGGCGCCTCCGTCCAGGGCGCATTGGTCACCTGACTGGTTCGGGTCCCTGCCGGCGGAGTGGGTAAGAGGGCGGGTGAGAGTGCGCTCCGGCTCAGGGGAGAGGTGAGAGGGGTCGACAGGGAGTGGTGCGGCAGCTGCAGATCCGCATGGTGCGCGCCACTGAATGCATCCAAACAGGGGCGCTCACAATGGGGAGGCATGTCGGATGGCGGCTTAACTCCTCTTTTATTATTTTTTTTACCTTAGATGGACCCTGATGGAAAGCCGAGATCTGCGCGGTGCGTTAGCACCCAGTTTCGGGCCCTTGAAGGAAATTCCTGGTTCACCCCTGCATTCAAGGGATCATTGCAACACTACAAAAGCTGCAGGCCGCTAACTCAGCGCGGGGAACCTAAGGACCTGCACGCGCATTGCACCACTTCATCGTGACCAGAGTCAGCTTGTGCGATGGGAACCTTGGGCGGTCGAAAACTGGAGCTTGTGTGTCGACAGAGGCAGCACTGCAGGGCGCTGGACAAGTGCATTAGTCCCCAAGCGTTTCGACTAAGCGATTTGATATCACAAAACACGGCAAGCTTCATGCGTGTGACGAACTAATTTCGCAGGCATTGTCCTGGTCAAGCGTATCAGTAGACCACCACAGGCAATGGAGCGCCTCCAACGCATCGTTGTTATTGAGTTTTAAGGGCGCGACAGCCGCCTGGGTTGCTTGCACACACCACCAGCACGTCCCAGTTCCTCACCCGGTCTTGGCGAAGTTAGTCCAGTAACCGATCATCCTTTTGGACAGCGTGACCTCCTCGCGGCTGAAGCTCCCGCCGGCGCGAAGCGGCACGCCGAACACGTACGCCACCTCGTCTCCGTGCAGCACGCCCGTCCACTGGGGCCAGAGCGAGCCGGGCGCGCGCTGGCGCAGCTGATAGACGAACACGGCGCCGCCCTCGCGCGCATACGCCGCCGCGAAATCGTTGACGCCGCAGGCGAACTGCTGGTCGCCGACCAGCTTGTCGAGGCCGTCGCGGAGTGTGGCCGGCGCGTACGGCCGCGTCCAGTCGGTGTACTCGTGG